CCATTTGGGGTTTTTAACCAGTATCTAGACTTAAACAGCACTGGGAAATACCATGTCACAGCACATCTGGAGTTCCAATTGGGAAAGGGTCCCAGGAAGCACTCCTCTTCAAGGGTGAAACTTTCAAGATTGAATTTCTGGGTTCCTGCTTATAATCACAGAACAGATGCAAACTGATATCATCATCACTCTGTGACCAAGTTGCAAGCTTCATTCAGTTGAGTTCAGTTGCTCAGTCATGTCTGACGCTTTGTGACCCTGTGGACTACAGCACACCCGGCCTCCCTGTCCATTACCAACTTCCAAACTTTAATCAAACTTATGTCCATTGAGTCGGTGATGCCATCCAACCATCTTATCCTCTGTTGTCCCCGTCTCCTCCCACCTTCAATCTTCCCTAGCATCAGGGTCTTTTCATATGAGTCAGTTCTTTACCTCAGGTGGCCCAAGTATTGGAGTTTCAGCTTCAACATCACTCCTTCCAATAAATATTCAGGACTGATTTCCTTTAGGATGGAATGGTGTGATCTCCTTGCAGTCCAATGGACTCTCCAACACCACAGTTCAAAATCATCAATTCTTTGGTGCTCAGCTTTCTTTATAGTCCAACTCTCACATCCATACATGACTGCTGGAAAAACCATACCTTTGACTAGAAGGACTTTGTTGGCAAAGTGATGTCTCTGCTTTTTAATATGCTGTCTAGGTTGGTCATAACTTTTCTTCCAAGGAGCGAGCCTCTTTTAGTTTCATGTCTGCAGTTACCATCTGCAGTGATTTTGGAGCCCAAAAAGATACAATCTGTTACTGTTTCCACTGTTTCCCCATCTATTTGAAATGAAGTGATGGGACTGGATGCCATGATCTTAGTTTTCTGAATGTTGAGCTTTAAGCCAACTTTTTCACTCTCCTCTTTCACTTTCATCAAGAGGCTCTTTAGTTCTTCTTCACTTTCTGCCATAAGGGTGGTGTCATCTGCATATCTGAGGTTATTGATATTTCTCCCAGCAATCTTGATTCCAGCTTGTGCTTCATCCAGCCCAGCATTTCTCATGATGTACTCTGCATATAAGTTAAATAAGCAGGGTGACAATATACAGCCTTGACGTACTCCTTTTCCTATTTGGAACCAGTCTGTTGTTCCATGTCCAGTTCTAACTGTTGCTTCCTGACCTGCATACAGGTTTCTCAAGAGGCAGGTCAGGTGGTCTGGTATTCCCATCTCTTTCAGAATTTTCCACAGTTTATTGTGATCCACACAGTCAAAGGCTTTGGCATAGTCAATAAAGCAGAAATAGATGTTTTTCTGGAACTCTCTTGCTTTTTCGATGATCCAGCGGATGTTGGCAATTTGATCTCTGGTTCCTCTGCCTTTTCTAAAACCAGCTTGAACATCTGGAAGTTCACGGTTCACGTATTGCTGAAGCCTGGCTTGGAGAATTTTGAGCATTACTTTACTAGCGTGTGAGATGAGTGCAATTGTGCAGTAATTTGAGCATTCTTTGGCATTGTCTTTCTTTGGGATTGGAATGAAAACTGACCTTTTCCAGTCCTGTGGCTACTGCTGAGTTTTCCAAATTTTCTGGCATATTGAGTGCAGCACTTTCACAGCATCATCTTTCAGGACTTGAAATAGCTCAACTGGAATTCCATCACCTCCACTAGCTTTGTTTGTAGTGATGCTTCCTAAGGCCCACTTGACTTCACATTTCAGAATGTCTGGCTCTAACTGAGTGGTCACACTTGTATGTGTACAAGTTACCATGTTCTCTGTGGGATAGATTCAACTTGTTCAACTTGGACACTGTGCAGGTATTCCATTATGGGAATAAGTCACAAACTATTTATCCATTCTGTTATTGATGGGCATTTAAGTAGTTTTCAGGTTTGGGCCATTATGAATCATACTGTTTTGAACATTCTTATGTCATGCACATTTGTATGCATTTCTGTTGGGTCTGCACCTATAAATGGAATTCTGGGTCATGGAGATGCATCAGTTCAGTTTCAGTAAATGTTATCAATCTTCCAAAGTGGTTATGCCAACTGGCACTCCACCCAGAAGCAGGTGAGGATTTGATACTTAAAATACTGGCCAGTGCTACATATTTTCCACTTCTCTCAAGTTAGCCAACGACAACTCACTTTTATTAATCACTTACATGCTAGAAACCATACTAAGTGTACATTGTCTCATTTGACTTTGCAATAATCCTATGAAGTCCTCCTCATTTCACAGATGTACAGGGGAGCTCCTCACATGTGGCTAGCATTTGACTGATGCTGACCCACCTCTGACCATGGCTCCATCTACTACACTGTTGTCTTGGACAGCACCAATGTCCATGGCCAGGAGCAGGCTATGCAGGAGCACATCCCGAGCTGCACCTGTGTCTCTGCGCTCACTCAGGTTTCCTCTTCAAGGGCTTCAGTTTTCCAGGCAGCCTGTGTTCAAACACCTTCACCACATGAAGAAACTGAAGGGATGAGTCAAGGGTGAAAAGGTGACCAGCTCCCACCTCCTTTCTCAGTGACACCTCCTTCAGGTGGGCAGTGAGCACTGGGGCACCCATGTTGGCCAGAAGGGTTGCAAGGTTGGAGTGTAAGGAAACTCTGACCAGTTTACAAAGCTAAGAATGAACTTTTGTGTTTCACCCAGATGAAAGGAGGTTTATACATTTTTTTTATTTTATAAAAGTAATATCTGCAAACAACATTTTGAGACAAAATTTAAAAAGGATAACAAAGTGTAGTGATAGCTTCTTTAACAGATATACTTTATATACACTTCCAGATGCTTTTCTGTTTTTCTAAATGTACATGTATATATGTACATACAGATCTTCTTCAACTTACTATGGACTTTTAAGGGTTAGGGTTATGTAAATACATATGTGTATGTGTTAAACAAAAAGTAATACTATAGTCTGCATGCTACTTTATGGATGTGATGAAACTTTGCATTTTACTCCTTGCAGCATGAGCTGGGCTATCCTGGAGATGACCAGAGGTCCCCAAGATTTTTGATGGGCACTGTGCCTTCCAATGGCTTCTATGTGAGGCTCTGAGGGCAGACAGTGAGGGGCTGAGGCCACAAAGGAAAAGCTTCCCTAATAAGGCACTGAATGCTCTTCCAGTTGGGAGCATCTTGACCTCAGAAGTCAGTGAGCTTCTTCAAGCAAGCTATACCCATGTTCCCAGCCAAGGGGAGGCACAGACTCCCTGCCATGATGGGAGAATCAGTTCACATAAGGTTGGCTTTACTGTGAAGCCAGTCTTGACCAAATGAGCCACTCCTGTGAGACTCGGGGTCAAAGAGCCCCACGGTCTTGGCACCCAATGATCACTACGCAGCCCAGTGGTCCAAAGAGAATGAGGGTATGTCTGGGAGATGCGTCTGCAGCAGGTTCCAAAGGCGTGGGGAAAAGGATGAGATTCACTTTGGCTCTCATGGTGAAAACTGGAGTCTCCTACTAAGTCACTCACAATGAAGGATTCCCCCTGAGACAAGGGGCTTTGGATGCTGGGCACCTACACAGGTGAAAACTCCCTGCTTCCAGTGCGTTAAATCTCCATCATCACATATATCACCTTTACCCCTAAACTTTGGTGACATACATAAAAAGGTGCTCCTCACTTTAAAACTTTCTGTAAGTCATCTAAATGAATTGTTACATATGATAATATACATATTATACATATACATATACATATACATATACATATACATATTCTCTCAGATCATCCCACCGTCGCCTTTTCCCACAGTGTCCAAAAGACTCTTCTATACATCTGTGTCTCTTTTGCTGTCTCGCATATAGGGTTATTGTTACCACCTTTCTAAATCCCATATATATGTGTTAGTATACTGTATTGGTGTTTTTCTTTCTGGCTTACTTCACTCTGTATAATAGGCTCCAGTTTCATCCACCTCATTAGAACTGATTCATATGTACTCTTTTTAATGGCTGAGTAATATTCCACTGTGTGAAACAGATCACCAGTCCAGGTTTGATGCATGAGACAGGGTGCTCAGGGCTGGGTGCACTGGGATGACCCAGAGGGATGGGATGGGGAGGGAGGTAGGAGGCGGGTTCAGGATGGGAAACACATATAAACCCATGACTAATTCATGTCAATGTATGGCAAAAACCACTACAATATTGTAAAGTAATTGGCCTCCAATTAAAATAAATAAATTTTTAAAAAGCCACACAGTGTGGCCAAAAAAAAAAATAATAAAGAATTGTTACATATTTATTTAAAGCACTACAGTTTCAGGTTTATTTTTATTAAATAGTGGGGAAAGTAGTTGTCTTTACTCATCCTCTGACAATCCTCTCTTCTCACCCTGCAAGCCTTGTCAGATGAGATGGTCTGGAGGTGGGGTAAGTGTCAAGTCTGTCTGCTGCAATTATTAGTAGAAAACTTTATTGCATTCCACGTGGTATCTCTGAGCCTTTGTCTCCTCGTGTAACAAAAGACGGGTTTGGATGATGTGATATTTAGGATATTTCTAGCTTTAAAATTCCACAATTATATTCAGATTCTAGTTTTTAAAAATGTAGAAGTTGTTGCAACCACACAATTTTAATTCACTTGCACTCAAAATATGCCTTAGCACGAGTTTGAAGCCTTACTGGCAATAAACACAAAAATGTGTTTATATTCCCTATGGGTCACTTAATCAAAATGGCCACATGAAATGTCCTGCTTCTGCCCATTCTGCTTCCAAGCGGCAGTCCTGGACAAATGACAGGCAGCTGGGCTGGATGCTGCATGGAGGTGCCTGAGCCTTGTCACAGGAAGCAGATACAGTGNAGTCCTGGACAAATGACAGGCAGCTGGGCTGGATGCTGCATGGAGGTGCCTGAGCCTTGTCACAGGAAGCAGATACAGTGGCTGGGCTGTGACTTCATCCCGGAAACCCTTCCTCTGCCGTTTCCTCTCTGCCAACTTTCTCCAGGATTTCTCCTTACCGTCTCTAATAAAAAGTTATACTCCCACTGTATTAATGTTTTCTTTTTCTGCCCCAGGTACCAGAAGACCAGGGGCAGCGCCTATGCTCCAGAGTCCTGAAATGATTCAAGCTAGCCAGTTCTGCCCTGCTCACCCTGCCTCACCTGTTCCTTCCCCCAGAAACCACAGCAAAGGCTCGTGCCCATATTTCTTCCTTGCTCGGCCTCCTGACCACCACTGAACTTCTCCATGTACCCTTCTCTCATGGCATGGTGCACCCTCTCCTCTTGGGAATCATCAGCAACAAATTATCATCTCAGTGGCAGTCGTCTTCTGATCTGTGGTCTTACTATTACCGAAATGATGATGAAACCTTTATTAAAACATTCACAGTGTATTAATTTCCTGAATGCTCCCCTCAACGTTGGCCTCAGTTCTTCAGACCACTGGTTACAGCATTATCAACATTTGCTTCCACTTCCCTCCTGTTCCCTGACTGGTCAACACGAGATGGATGCCAAGGGCTTGCTCTGTCCCCACAACCCTAAAGAGCTCTTGACCCTGACCTCTATACTTGTCATCACATTGGCAGGGTCTGCCAAAGCAGTGAACTCAGATTGGCTACAGCTTTGCAACCACTATCTGTAGTGGTGGTCATCATCCACCATATGTCAGTCTCTTCTTGGAATTCAGTTCCATTATTTCTGCTTCTGCAGGATGCCAAAGCCCCTTTTTCTTCAAGTCTTGAAAAGTAAGAAAGAACAAGGCATTTCAGTTAGTTTTTTAAAAATCAATTTATTAAAAATATGAAGGCATTTTCTTCATATGCACCCTAGGTTTTTTCAAGATCAAAAGCAGTGAGTTCTTTATATAATAATAACTACTATTTCTATTTGCATAATGATCAGCAGTTTACAAAGTAGTTGCAAGCCTATTCTCTTATTCTGACTACAAAACTAAGGCAAGGTTTGTTCCTTCTTATGAATGAGGAAGCCAAGGCTTTGAGAATTAAAGTAGTTAGCTTTCTCAGTGGGGCACTTGTTATCAGATTAATTAAAGTAGCCATTATAAATTGCTGAAATGAGAAATAAGCTCATTTATGTCTTGATGGCAAAGTTCCACTATGGCTTCCTTGTTTTTATTACTCCTTTGACTCAGGTAAGTTCTGCCCAAGGGCCCTCTTCCCCACCACACTAGACCATGAGCAGTCTGATACATGACCCCAGATGGGAGGGGAGAGAAAGGGTACATAGAGAAATACCTCCTGGGGGCCAGGGACTAGGGGTGTGGCTCAGGCAGCAGCTGTATCATTTACAGAGTGTTCACTCCTTGAACTTTGGAAACTCCCTGAGCTTTGGGGAAAACCACACAGTATCTCACAAAAACAAGCTCAAGCTTGGCAGTGAAGCTGGGTTAGAAGGCAAGCCTAGTCTCCCTCGCTGTGATATTCTTAGAGTGGGCAAGCTGGCACACGGGTCAGGGACATTCATTCAATGGCTCCTTCACTCACTGACCACTGTTGCCAGCATCGTCCTGAGGATACATGTGGCTAGCCCACAGTCCTCCTCCTACAGGTCCTAGTGAGTTGGGGTGGTAAGCAGCCACAGCGACCATGGGGAGGGAAGATGCACCACTGGTTGCCCTTGTCGCCTGAACCTGCTGGGATGGGACCAAAGGGGCAGGCCCGGGTTGCAGTAATTTCCTGGAGCCCGCTTTCCCTCCCCAGAATGACTCCAATGTCATTTTCAGAAAGACTTTGCATTTTAGCTTATTTTAGTGGACAGTTTCACATCACATTGAGACCATTTCCATACGTAGTGGACTTTAAGGCATTTTGGCATTAATATTTGTTCTCTCCCCGTCATAGAGCCAAGCTCTGTGGACCTACGGCCCTGCAGGAACCTGGGTGCTTAGAGGGATTGAGACCAGATTGATGGGAAGGTAAAAATCAGTGTAAAATTCACATTCCCCCTGAGAGAAGGGAACCTATAACTGGCTGATTTCACACATCACACAAAGCCTGAGGCCATGGGGAAGGTGATTAGAAGAGGGAGAAGACGCTGGAGTTCGGCTGGGTGCATCTCCTGCCCAATCCCTCCCCACACACACCACCCGTCCCCCCACCCCCCCACACCAGCTAAAGGAGAGCAGCTGAGCCTTTGGAAGCAACAACACCCAAAATAGAAATTTTCACAGATTTCACAAATCTCTGCAGGTTTTCAAAAGAAGAAATAATAAAGTGCTTTTGATAGCAAGTAGCCTTTCTTGTCATATTTTTCAAAGCCCCCTAGATTTAACCCCTGAGACATCTGGGCTGCTCCAATGAACTCATAAACAATAACATTATTCTAATGCCTGAAGAGGCACTGACAATCCTTTCCTGTGAAGTCACAAAAATGCTCTTCACTGAGGCTAAGAGGCTTGGTAGATTCCTGGTTCAATTTGAATTTAAACAACTAAACCATTCTACAGTGTTAGCTGTATTGCTTAACAAGGGCTGCCATAAACAAGATACCACAGACAGATGGCTTCAACAATGAAATCTTATTGTCTCACAATTCTGAAGGCTGGAAGTAAAAGATTAAGGTGTTAGCTCTTCCTGGGGCCCCTCTCCTTGGTGTATAGACAGCGATCTCCTCCCTCTGTCCTCACATGGTCCACCCTCTGTGTGTCCAAATCTCTTCTTATAAGGACGCTGGTCTTATTGGATAAGGGTCCATCCTGTGAGTGCAAAATCGTTTCAATTGTGTCTGACTCTTTGCAACCCTATGAACTGTAGCTGGCCAGACTCCTCTGTCTATGGGATTCTCCAGGCAAGAAAACTGGAGTGGCTTGTCATGCCCTCCTCCAGGGGATCTTCCCGACCCAGGGATCAAACTCATGTCTCTTACATCTCCTGCATTGGCAGGNTTTCAAGAGTCTTCTCCAACACCATAGTTCAAAGCATCAATTCTTCAGTGTTCAGCTTCCTTTATGGTCCAAGTCTCACATCCATACATGACTACTGGAAAAACCTTAGCTTTGACTCTACAGGCCTTTGTGAGCAAAGTGATGTCTGTGCTTTTTAATATGCTGTCTAGGTTTGTCATAGCTTTTCTTCCAAGGAGCAAGCAACTTTTAGTTTTATGGCTGCAGTCATCATCCACAGTGATTTCTCTGTCCATACACAAGCCCATATAGCATTCTGTGTTTCACTATTTTCATCAACACTCTTCTGTATTGTTATTATTGCACCTGTAAGGACTTCAAATTTATCTTTTGCAACACAGTTGCATTTTTTATATTGTTTAATCTTATTTTAGTGGCAGCAAAGATTAAATGTAGTATACAATAGAACATGGCTAAGATTTTATTAACACATTTTTTCTTTTATAATTTTCATTATACCATGGACTCCCTTTTTTAAATGAAGAAATGTCAATACTGTCAATGGAAAAACAATTTACAAAGCTCCATACATGTAACTTTTCCAGAAGGCACCTGCTGCACAAAGCAAGTGGGTTGTGGGTTATTTCATTCAAAAAATGAGGATTTATAATTTAACAACCAAGATAATTCTTAAAATCTCTAACAATTTGTTAAGTTTTTTAAACAAGAAATATTTATTTGGTCTTTTAAGTGACAGACATTCTTTGGAAATGTATTTTACCTGTACTTTAGACTTCTACTAGGCTTTAGCTACAAGTATCTAGCACCAAAATTCATTTTAATAACATCAATATTATTAATATTGGTTTTTAATACATACAAGTTCATGTAGGCAAACTGACAAAATTATAAATTCCAAGAAATATGAATGCAAAATTTTATAAAATGAGAAATTAAAATCTTAAAAAAAATTTTTTTTGAAATGCAAAGAATAGTCTTTTCTTAGATAACAAGATAATTTTGTATTGGTTACACTAAAAAAATTCTTAAAAAAATATTTGGTTTAAAAATCAGGACTATTTCACAACTCTAATCTATTTTAAAATTTTAGAGCAATACAGAAATACCAGAGGCCTCTAAAAGGGCAAGGATAACAGATTTTTAAAGATCAAAGTAGGAGGTGGTCCTAAGATGGCAGAGGGACAGGACAGGGAGACTACTTTCTCCCCCACAAATTCATCAAAAGAACATTTGAACGCTGAGCAAATTCCACAAAACAACCTCTGAATGCTGGCAGAGGACATCAGGCACCCAGAAAGGCAGCCCATTGTCTTCAAAAGGAGGTAGAACAAAATATAAAACATAAAAAGAGAGACAAAAGAGGTAGGGATGGAGATCCATCCCGGAAAGGGAGTCTTAAAAGAGGAGAAGTTTCCAAACACTGGGAAACACTCACTCGCGGGTCTGTGAGGAGTTTGGGAATCTCAGAGGGCAACATAACTGGGAGGAAAAATAAATAAATAAAACCACAGATTATGTGCCTGACGGCAACTCCCAGCACTCAGAGCTGCCACCAGCAAGCAGGGGCTGAATGGGAAGGCGTGGGTTGCACTGCCTAGGGTAAGGACAGGGTGGAATGCCCTAAGGGCAATCTGAGGGA